ACATTATACCCACCACCGCGCCTGCCCCTGGCCAGGTATGGTAGTGGCGTGTAGGCACCTCCTCCTCCTCCTCCTCCTCCTCCTCCTCCTCCTCCTCTCCTCCTCCTCCTCCTCCTCCTCCTCCTCCTCCTCCTCCTCCTCCTCCTCCTCTCCTTCCTCCTCCCCCTTCCTCCTCCCCCCTCCTCCTCCTCCCTTCTTCCCCTCCTTCTTCCTCCTCCCCCCTTCCTCCTCCTCCCCTCTTCCTCCTCCTCCCCCTTCCTCATCCTCCCCCTTCCTCCCCTTCCTCCTCCCCCCTTCCTCCTCCTCCCCTCCTCCGCCTCCTCCTCTCCTCCTCCGCCCCGTCCTCCTCCTCCCCTCCTCCTCCCGCTCCTCCTTCCTCCTCCTCTCCGCCTCCTCCTCCCACCTCGCTCCCCCCCCTCCTCCTCCTCCTCCCCCCCTCCTCCCCCTCCTCCTCCTCCTCCTCCTCCCCCCCCTCCTCCTCCTCCTCCTCCTCCTCCTCCTCCTCCTCCTCCCCTCCCTCCTCCTCCTCCTCCTCCTCGTCCTCCTCCCTCCCTCGTCCTCCCCCCTCCTCCTCCTCCTCCTCCCTCCTCCTCCTCCTCCTCCTCCTCCGCCTCCTCTCCTCACCTCCCCTCACCTCATCCTCATCCTCCTACTCCTCATCCTCCCCCTCATCCTCCCCCTCCCTCCCCCCTCCTCCTCCCTCCTCCCTCTCCCCCATCCTCCTCCCTCCCTCCTCCTCCCTCCCCCCCCTCCACCTCCTCCTCCTCCTCCCCTCTCTCCTCCGCCTTCTCCTCCTCCGCCTCCTCCTCCTCCTCCTCCTCCTACTCCTTCTCCTCCGACCACGACCACAAACCGCCGCTCGCCCGACGACGGCGAACGACAGCGACCACGACGGCCGCGCCGACATCGGTGCCTGCCGGGGGGCACCAGGTGCGCCGCCTCGGCCTCGGCCGGCGGCCGATCGACCCAAGGGGGGGGGAGAGGGGCCCGGAGAGGGCGGCGGGTCAGGGCGCGGGGGCTGTCTGTGGGGGTTGGGGGGGGAAGGGGGGGGGCGCGTTGGCCTCTCCCTCCCTCCTCCCTGACATTGTACCTCCCCTCCTTCCTCCCTCCCGCCTCCGCCCTCCTCCTCCTCCTCCCTCCTCCTCCTCCCTCCTCCCTCCCCGCCTCCCCTCCTCCTCCTCCTCCCCTCCTCCTCGGCCTTCTCTTCTCGACCCTCCATCCTGCTGCCTCTTCCTCCACCTCCTTCTCCTCCTCCTCCTCCTCGTCCTCCTCCTCCATGCCATCCTCCCCCCTTCCACACTCGCGCCCACTGCTCTCCGCCTCCTCCTCCTCCGCCTCCTCCTCCTCCTCCGCCTCTTCTTCCCCCATTCCATCCGTAGTGAACATTCCTCCTCCGTAGTAAACATTCCTCCTCTCCCCATTCCTCCTCAACTCGCCATCTCCCCTGCCCCCACCCGTTCAACTACCCATTGAAGTGACACTCTCCTCTCTCCCCTGAGCGCTCATGTGAATACGACAATCCCACATATAAGTGTTTACATGCGTAGTTTCCATTTGAAGAAATTCGCATTATTTTATACACTCGGAACCTCGTCGGTCGGGTTCAGTTGCGCTCTCACACCGTCGCCTGCCACACTCTTGCCGCAACACAGACAATAAGCGCGCAACTGCATCGATCCTGGAACCTCGACTCTGAGTGCTCGAACCTCCACCCTCCTCTTTCCTGATCTCTGTTCCATCCACCTGCCCAGGAGTGGGAAGCGGAGGAGGAGGAGGAGCAGGAGGAGGAGGGGGATGCGGCGAGGAAGGAGAGAACGAAGAGGGTGGGCAAGGGGGCAGAGGGGGAAAGGGGGACAAGCTCGGTGCGCTCGCGCCACATCTGACATCCTATCACTCCATCCCATTCCTTCCCGTTGTACTGTTCTGTTCTATCCGCGGAAGCGTGTCACAGCCGACCTCGAACTTCCAAACAGACCCCATCGCGTCATGCCCAACTGGAAAAAGGCAGCTGCGTACATGGGAGGAGGAAGTGGCGGGTGAGCAGGAGGATAAGCAGGAAGAACAGCAGGAAGAGGACGAAAAGCAGCAGCGGGAACTGGAGTGGAAGGAATGGAGAAGAGGGACAAAGGGGAGGAGTCCGGGATGAGGAGGGAGGAGGAGCGCTGTGCCCCGGGCAAGCTCTCTCGCCAGCGCGGAGGCCACGGCGGTGCCGAAACTGCGGAACGGGGGGAGGGGGGCGGGAGGCGCGGTCGACAGCGGTCCCAGAGAAGGCACCTCGGGGGGAGGGGTCGAATACCCTTGTCGTCGTCGTCTCCCTTGCGGCGTCGACGGGCGACCTCGAGGCGCCGCAACCGGCACGAAAACAGCACAAAGGAACCGATGAAACAACGGCCGCGCCGTCTCCAAAGGCCAATAGAAGAAAGGATTGAATTGGGATGGTGGAGGGGGAAGGGGAGGCAAAGAGGGGAAGGGGGCAGCGGGAAAAGGGCCTTGGAGAAAAGGAAAGTGTGCGTGTGTGTGGGCGGGGAAACTGGTGCATTGTGAACGGCAAGCGGTATGCAATCACCACCTGGTCGTGTATGACCGCTTTCCTGGTACCGGGCCCATGCACAGATGGCACCAGTATGACGACCATACTTCGAGTGCCAAGCGAACCTCAGAAGAGCAACGGACTGACAACATAAGATTAGACACCTGAGTAACTGACCCGCTCCCGTCTAGTAATACCCGCCTATGCCGAACGGCCATTAACCCATAAGGTATTTGCGTACAGAGTCTAGCAAGTGTGGTGATGGTAATGAGAGAAGGCTCTCAATGGCTACGCGGCAACAAGCTTAGCAGGCCACACTCTCAATCTCGCATACTGCCAGAACGGACAGACCATGCTTATGCTGGCGTGCTCGCGAATTGCACGCGATATGCAAACACCAACTGTCCCTGTCTGACCACTTTCCTCGTGCCAGGCACATGCGCAACAATAGCTGGCGCCGGTATGACGGCCACATTTCGACTGTTCCTCCTAGGCCGAATGGTCATCATCCCTAAGCAACATGCAGAGTGCAATGTTCGTGATGTGGATGGTTGGAAAATCTTGCCAATCACTGCGTGACATCACGCATGGAGAGACACAAACAAACTCCATCTCGCATACATTCAGAAGGGAAACCACGTGTCGTCAATGCTCAGCCCGATCATAAGGGTATGCAGAAAATAACGACTTTGCAAACGGCAGGGGGAATTGGAGAGTGAAGTCAATGGGTTACGAGAGAAGGCTCAAGGACAACATGCGTACCAATTCACACTCTCAATCTCGCATACTGCCAGAACGGACCGACCATACCTATGCTTGCGCACAGGAGCTGACACCAACATGGCGACCGTATTTCGACTGTTCCTCCTGGGCCGAATGCTCAACATGCCTAAGCGGCATGCGAAGTTCAGCATTTGTGATACGGATGGTTGGACAAGCTTGCCAATGACTACGTGACATCTCGCATTGAAGACCACGACAAGGCTCCATCTCGCATTCTTTAAGAATGGTCAAACCATGTCGTCAATGCTCAGCCTGACCATAAGTGTATGCAGAAACTGATCCCTTTGCGAACGGCAAGCGGTATGCCATCACAACCTGGTCATGTATAACCGGTTTCCCAGTACCGGGTCCATGCACAGGCGCTGACACCAGTATGACGACCACATTTCGACTGTTACTCCTAGGCCTAATGCTCATCATCCATCCCTAAATGGCATGCAGAGTGCAGCTTTTGTAATGCGGATGGTTGTCAATGACTGCGTGGCAACACGCATGAAAGGCCGCAAAAGAACTCCATGTCGCATACTTTCAACACGGATCGACCATGCCGTCAATGCTCACTCAGCCCGACCAAAAGGGTATGCAGAAACTGATGAAATTAAGAACAGCAGCCAGTTTGTAATCACCACCTGCTATCTCGTCATGAATGTCCGTTTTCCCGGTACCGGGCCCATGCACAGGAGCTGGCACCAGTCTGACGAGCACATGTCGAATGGTGCAGACAAGCGAACCTCAGAAGAGCAACATACTGCCAACACAATAAAAGCCATCTGCATAAGCCCACCAGCCCTCTGGGCGTAGGTGGTCTGGGGAGGCTCCTCTTCCAACCCCGTTCTTCCCGTACCCCCCTCCCCTGGACCTGGACGGGGGGGGTCGCGGGTAGTCAGAGCGTCCAAGACGGCCCAAGATTGCTGCAAGAGGGCCTGGGAAAGCCCAAGATGACCTCCAAGATGGCTCAAGATAGCCCAAGATGCCTCAAGATGCCTCCCAAGATGCCCCAAGAGGCTTCAAGACCGCCCAAAAACGGCTGAGCCTCCGTGACCTTCAAGGAGGCCCCCCAGAGGCCCAAATCCTTCGAAAGCCTAAGGACAATCAATGATTTGTGCGTCGTTTCCCGCTCGCTGTCGATAGCCTTCCGATGCCTCAAGATGGCTCCGAGATGGCCCAATAGGGCCCCAAGGGAGGCCCAATAGAGCCCCAAGACGGCCCCAAGAGAGCGCTCAAAGCGCCCCAAGAGGAGTCCAAGAGACATTGCGACGCTCCTCTTCTTTGGTCGATGTCATCCAGGATGGCGCCAAGAGCGTCCCCAAGGCTACCAAGAGCGCCCCAAGAGGGCCCCAAGAGGCGCCAAGGATGCCCAAAGAGGTGCCCAAGAGGCCTCCAAGAGGCTCCCAAGAGTCTCCCAAAAGACCCCAAGAGGCTCCCCGGGGTACGCAAGAGGCCCCTGGGACCGCCCAGCTGCCCACAAGACGGCCCAAGAGACCCCCAAGCTCGCCATTGTCCTCCTCCTCCTCCTCCTCCTCCCCTCCCCCTCCTCCTCCTCCTCCTCCTCCTCCTCCTCCTCCTCCTCCTCCTCCTCCTCCTCCTCCTCCTCCTCCTCCTCTTCGCCATTTCGGCGCGACTCGGGGGGAGCTCGCGCGTGGGGCCGCGCACTTCGAAGTGGCTCAGCGGCTCCGAGCCAGATGCCATGGGGCTCTTCCAGCGAGGCTGCAGAAGCGCCACGGAGGCAGGGGACGAGGGCGGGGCGGAGCTTGCCTGGCGGGCTCGCGTCCCTCGTCGCGAGGACGGTGGCGTCGGCGGTCTCGGCGGCCGTAACGGCAGCGGTGGTTCCGCCCATGCCGCGCCCGCAGCAGCTGCCGAGGTCCCCAGCGCAACCGCCGCGGCCCTCAGCGGGGCCCGCGCCGCGGCCGGGGCCAGCGCAGGCGCCGCAGGCGGGCCAGGCTGCGAGGTCGGAGGAGGCCCCGCCGCCCAGGCTCCGCAGGTGGGCCAGGAGCTCGGCAGGGAGGGCTGCCCCGCCAAGTCCGCCGCCTGGCGACCTGTGGCCGGTGGCGGTGGGCGAGGCCTCAGCCCCGCCAACGAAGTCGGGTGGGAGCGAGCCCCGCCACCGGGGCCAGGCTGGCCGCCGCGCCGTGCCAGGAGGAGCACCAGAAGGGCCGCTCGCGCTCCCGGAGGCGCAGGAGGCGCAGGGAGTGCTCGGAGCCCCGGGAGGTCAACTGAGCGCGGGCACCTACCAGGAGAAGGACAGCATGGACAAGGACCTCACCGTGAACTGCAGCCAGTTCGAGGATGAGGACAAGGAGAAGAATTACGAGGGACAGGATAAGGCGCTCGAGAGCGGCTTCAACACGCAGGTGTTGAGCATGGCAGACGACAACAACAACGAGTTCGTGGACGGCTGGGCGCTCTGGCACATGGGAGAGCAGGAGCTAATGGAGGAGTCGTCAAAGCCAGGTGCGCTAGGTGCGAGGAAGGACCTGGACCGAATCCTCAGGGAGAGAGTGCGCGCAGAGACGGCTTCAGCGAGGTGTGAAGGCCCATCGCGACCTGTTCCACAAGCAGCATAAGGTGAAGAAGGACAGGATCTCGGAGTGGAGGCTGGCCAACGACGTCGTGGTCGGCGTGATTAAGGAAGGAGGAGCAGGACGACTTCGGCGAGGAGGCTTTGAAGGGGCAGCGATGTCGTAATGGCGCTGGGCCCCCGGATCAGGCTTTCAAGGGGATTCCGCCGTTCCCGAAGCTGTTCGAGGACGGCGATGAGGAGCAGGAGGACTTCGAGCCAGACGCCGAGGACCAAGGTGTGCGTTGTATGGCGGCGGAGGCGCTTGGGCAGCTCGGCGCCGCGGAGGCCGTGCCCGCGTTCCTGACGGACTTCGGTGACAGCTCCGCGAAGAGCAGCGAGAGCGTCGTCGAGAGGAACGTGCTTGAGATCGGGGGCCTGGTGCACCAAATCGAGAGCCTCTCGGAGCAGGAACTGGAGGACCTCGTGGCGGGGTCCCGCATCGCGCCGCAGGTCTTCCGCGACTGGGTCGAGGGCCGCTCCCAGGCGGGCATCGCCGAGCAAGGCCTGCTGGGGAGTGTAAGTCGGCGCTTGAGGGCCAGCTCGAGGAATACGTTCGGGTGTGGCGAGTCCTGAAGTTGCGACTTCGGTGAGTCGCGATGGCCTGAGGGCCTCCAGGGGGGGGGGGTGCAACCTCGGGAGTCCTCGTTGGGCCCCTCCCCTCCGTCTTGTTCTTCGGGCCCTGGGCCCGCCTGCCGCCCCGTCGGGCACTCGAGGTGCTGCGTCCTCCTTGGGGTCGGGGCGGCGTGTCCGCGCCGAGCGTCGGCGAGGAGCCGATCGGATAGTGCCCGCAACAGTCGCAGCCTCGCAACCTTCTCCTCCTCCTCCTCCTCTTCTGCATCCGCCTGTCTCTCCCCCTCCCTCCTCCTCCTCCTCCTCCTCCTCCTCTTCCTCCCCCCCCTCCTCCTCCTCCTCCTCCTCCTCCTTTTCCTCCTCCTCCCCCTCCTCGTCCTCCTCCTCCTCCTCCTCCTCCTCCTCTCCTCCTCTCCTCCTCCTCCTCCTCCTCCTCCTCCTCCTCCTCTTCCTCCTCCTCCTCCTCCGCCTCCTCCTCATCCATCCCTTCTCTTTGTAGATAACCCCTCCCTCTCGCACCCCTAACTTGTTTGTAGGACGGGCGGGACGCTTCGCCTGAGACTTCCTCACCCATTCATGACCCTACATCTCAGAAACATCGGCAACAGCTTCACATATAGATGGCGGGTGGTTTCGAATGAATTAAATACTTGCAAAGAGGTTCACTGATTGAGGGTGGTTACTTTGTGAAACGGTGGCGCTGGCCTTAGAGCCGCGCACATTCCTTAGCGCCGCGCGCATTCCTTCCACGGGGCCCCATGGTCAACGTACCACACACGGTGTTTCGGAATGAATCCGAATCATGAGGGGGCACAAAGTACGTTGGTTTGCAGTGTTTGAGGTCCAGGGATGCCATTCTGGCACGACTCAGGATCGCCAGGACGCCACAGTTATGTTCATCAGTGGCGTTGGATTCCTGGGAAAAAATACTTGGGCATGCTTCAGGGTCTTCAAACGAATTTTCAACGAAGCGGTTCCATCAGTGGACATGAACTGTGTATGGGGCCTACGAAGAGGGAGCCTCGAGGGAGGGTTTATTCCAACGCCGTTGATGACTCTTGGGTTTACACTGGTCCTCCTCCTCCTCCTCCTCCTCCCCCTCCTCTTCCTACTCCTCTCCCTCATCCCCTCGTCCTTGTTCTCCGCCTGTCCTCATTCGGCAAGTCCACGAAGGCGCATACGGTTCGCTCCTGGTCTGCGCACGCTGATCCAAGACTGCAAATTGACAGCTTCCCAAGCTCTTGATCCACAGCATGCTCCTCCAGTTCCCTGATCAAGGCAACTCGCCTGGGCATCGTTTGTGGATGAGCTGGCGGCGATTTTTTGCCGCAGCCGCAACCGAAGGCGCCAGCGGCGTCACAAGTCGGCCCGGGCTACAAGCAAAACTAATTGCCTAGCGCGCGCGCAGGCATCAGCAGAACCTACCGCAGTGGGAAGCTGCTGCGCCGAGGGCAGAGGCTGTAACCGAGCTGGTGGCGATACTTTGTTTGTCAGCAGCCGCGCGCGAAAGCGCACGCGGCGAGTCGAGTCTGAGCGGGCCGCGCAAAGACGAATTACCTACAGCGGCGGGGCCTCAGGCGTCACCACCGGCTGGTGGCGATACGCGCGTCAAAAATTGACACTCTCCCGTCCAGAAATCCCACCCAGGCCGAAAGGCCATCATCCCTCAGCGGCACTTGCTTGCAGGATGAGTGGTGAGACGAGGCTCTCAAGGGCTACGGGGCAACATGCGTAGCAGGCCGCACATTGAATCTCGCATACTGCCAAACCGACCAGCCATGCTTATGCTGATTCACTCGCCAGCGGTACGCAAACACCAACTGTCCTGGTCTGACCATGATCCAAGTCCCTGGCCAATACACCGGAGCTGGCACCAGTATAACGACACCATTTTGACTGTTACTTCTATTTGTTTGACATCAGCAAGACTGACACCAGCAAGACTGGACTGTAGTGATTGAACAAAAGTTAAATCCGCCTCACAGGGTGAGGTATTGCACTCCCTCGGGGTCTACCTTCAGGCTCGAGCTGCAGCTGGGGTGGAGCCCTCGAAGCACACGGCGCCATAGAGACTTCCTATGAGAAGTCATCTTAAGGTCACACCTGCCTATGAGGTTGGACTGCTTGGGAGACCCTTGACCGACATAACAGGCGCAGTGCGTAGAAATATGCAACAACTCTCCGTTGTCACATGGCAGACAGACAACAAAATGACAGTTTCTCTCCATATCCCCAACATCCCAGTCCCCGCGGACACCCGAACAACCACTGGTCAGGGGGCGGAGCTGAGACCGAGAGGCCTTGAAACACACATTGCAACGCCATCTGCCTGCTTTCACTTCCCAAACATGCACGAGGCGGTCAGGGTGCCTATCATGGGCCCGCCCCACAGGTGCCACTCGCTCGATATCCTTCAATTCGAGCCGTGGCCACTTAAACGGCAACGCCGCGGCCAGCTTGCAACCAGTCTTGGCAACAAGCAACGCCCTGTCGAGAGCTCTAGACATGTCATCTGACGGGGTCTGGCGGAGCCGTGCCCAGCCTTCGCGGCCTGATCGGCCTGAACATTTCCCCTTCCGAAGCCGCATCTCGCTCTCACGCGCACCCTCTTTCCCTAAGGACAAGTGCGCCCTGACTTTCTTCGCAGATTTGATGAGGTGTGAAATTCTCTGACTATATAGCAGTAGCCCTCCATAGGGCCTTTGATAATGTAGCTGGTCACCCAGGGGTCGATTTGCCTGCGCGTGAACATTAGCACAGTCCGTTTACAGATCACACTCGCCTTCTACAACTTGGCTAGAACAGCCGAAGGCGGCAAACTTGCCAGCCTGGCACGTCTGCGGCAAATCAGCATACACTGTGCCGAAGGCCCTGCCCAGGTACCTCAAACCCCCTTATCGAGAATCGCAAGCCCCCAAGGCCACCCTGTTAAGTTCTGGCACGGCACACCTCGCACAGCTCCCGTCCAAGAACAACTCCCCCATGACCACGCCCTCCTCCGCCGTGACTCCCTCCCCCCATTGCCAACAGGTCTTCCCTTCCGTGTCGGGCCTGGGCCAGTAATCACAAGGGCGAGGAAAGATACCACGAGTGAGTAGGAGCATGTCTTGGGGGTTGTCGGCGTCCATAGAGTCCACTACCGCTTGACATTCATCCGACGCGATCTCGGCTCGCTCGTCTGCACACGCTGGGCAGTGCCATAATCTGTGCAGCAGTGTGTCTGGCCCTTGGCCGCACAGAGGGCGCTCCACTGTTTCCAGCTGATAGCCGAGGCAGCGCGCCTTGACTCTGGTCCAACTGGCATCGCAACCGGTAATCCGCACAGCAGCCCTACCCGAGGGTGAGACCTTACTTCAGTGCAACTCACGCTTCAAAACGTCGTAGCACAACCTCGGGGCCTCCAGGACCGATTCCTGAGCAGCAACACGATCCATGCTTCGAAGAACAGCTTGGCGCAACAAAACCATCAAAAGTCCAGGACTGACCTCGGTCAGAATCAGCTTCTCCCCGAAATCGTTTTCCAAGGGGATCCAATCAATCAGCTTCCACTGTGTCCTTTTGAGACGCATGATCATCGCTGAGAAAGGGCCCGCGACCTCTCTGAACGACGAAGGTGGAGGCTTCGCGAAGAAAATCCCCCAGGCCTCGCGGAGCTCCGCAAAAATGAAACACCGGCGGTGCGCACCTGAGTGGGCACACCACAGCTCCTTAGAATACCTGACTAGGGGAGCAACCGCCGCTTGCCAAGTTGGCTCGCCCTCCAAAAATTAACAGGCTCGTGGGAGATCTACCCTTGCAGCTAAGGCCCATGACCGAGCCAGCTTGCTGACGGATACGGTGGAGCTCCCGCTCCGAAATCTCATGGACCTCGGACCCGTACAGCACCCCAGGCAGCGGCCCCGAGACCCAGATTTTCTTGGCGTGGGACGTGATATGTTTTTTTTTCACGTTCCACACATTCCGAGTCTTGGCCTTCAGGGTAGCCATGCGAACCTTGAACTTGGACTCGCGGAGGGCCCTCTTCTTGTAAACCTTCCTGCGAGACCAGCCAGCCGTGAAATCAATCCCTAGGCCCACAATGCTGTCCGCCAGCGGCAACGGGCGGTCGCCAAGGAAAAGCTGGAGCCCGCTAGCGACGGCGCCGTACGAGCACGCCAAGTTGCCCTGGCTCGCCTTGGGCAGAGAGATGGAGCAGCCGCACTCGTGGACTAAGGCCTGCTCCAACTGCCTAGAACTCTCTTTGATCCCCCAAAGAACTTCCTGAGCAGCCCCCGTGGAGTCCAGACCCGAATCGTCGATAAACTGCGCCAGGGAAACGCCCCTGGGAAGATTTAAACTGCTAAGCGGCCCCTGGAGGTACACTCTAACAAGCGATGTGGCCATGGAGCAGCCTGCCACGACACCCCTGCGAGCAAAGAAAAGCCCCGCCACCGCTGGGGCCATGCTTACAAATCTGCCGTATCTGTAGGCAGACACACAAAGCTGGGTGATGGCCGTGGGGAACTGAAGCTTGCGAGCTTCCTCCCACAAACGCTCGTGCGAGAAATTCTCATAGAATTTCGTCATATCCCAAAGCAGCATCGCAGAAACCTCCTCCGTGCGAGTGCTGAGCTCGGCCCGCGCCGCTCGGCGCCACACAGTGTCCGCCGGGCAAGCGAACGAACTTCCAGCAAAAAAAAAGTTTCTGGCATTTCTAGCTTCCCACTCCGCCGCCAACTCTCTGCTGCATTTTCGCCAAAGCCTGAGCATGGAAACAAACGACCCAATCGGTCTGTGCCCCCCAGACGCTTTGGAAAGTAACGCCACCTGGATAATCTGCAGCTGGCGCGGCAGGCAGGAGAGCGATTCGAAGATGGCGAAAAAGAGGCTCACTACCTGCAGCGCCGAGTCCGACAGCCACGAGTAATGCCTCATGTGAAACCCGTCCACAGCCTGAGCCGCGGCGACCTTGAAGGCAGCCGAGGTCGTCCTAATGCGGCCGACAGAGACTAGAGGGAGGGGCTGACACACTCCATTGAACAGACCACGTGGGGCCTCCGAGTCCGCGTTCCAGATTTGGGCCCAACTCGAGGCCTCACTCTTCAGCAGGCTCAGGGGGTCCGACACAACCAATCCCCCCGCCGACAGCGCGGTGGTGGCTTTCCAGCAAGGGGCCTCCTTGGAGGCCACGTGCGCGGTTCCCCCCCCCCCCCCCCCATGATTTTAGTGAGGAGCCAGTTGTTCCACCCAGCCTCACCTTCGCGACGAGATTCCCCTTGGAGCTTACTTAATAACATACTGCTGGACCAACCCCAGCGCGTCCTGAGCAGCCTCCAGCCACTCTGCCTTGTCTAACACGGGGGTGAGACCGTCGGCGCACTCGCTGTCCAACGGCGCCGCCCGCGCAAAGGACTGAATTGCGCCGAGGTGCTTATCCCAATCGTCCGGCCCGACAATGTGCGCGAACGACGGGGGGTCCAGGAGGGTCTCCTTGGTCTTCAGGGCATCGGGGGGCCCATCGCGACATTCGATCATCAGGTCCTGGAACCGATGCGAAACCCATTTCCCCGCGAACAGCTTCGGGTGCCTGAAAGGAGGGGCTTTATCCTTGATAACCGGGACCCAGTGCAACTGCGGTGACTTGCTACGGGCACCATAGTACGGCAGCGTGGTCTGGGTCAAATCGCACAGCTCACTCTCGGCCAGGTCGGCCCAGAGCCCACGCACCCAATCAAGTATCTTCTGGGCCTCCTTAGCATTCCGAGACAGGGCAGTGCCCAGACAGCCCTCCGCAGCATCCTGCACCAGTCTCCAATCTGGCGGTGGGCGGCCGACCCCAATCGGCCTCTCCTTCGGAATGGGCGGCGGCTTGCGGAACGTGAGGGCGCACGGCTGAGCGAGCCGAGGAAAAAAGGCGGAGGTGCACTGGCTTGTGCGGCGACAGCTGCGCCACCTGCACGACGGTTGTGTCCTGGATGCCCTTCGCTAGAACCCCAGTGCACACGCACATACATATATATATATAACACAAAAAAACGCAAGACTTCCAAACGATCTGCAGGCCCCCGAGCGCGACCGTTTAATCAAAGACCCCTCCAACTTCTCAGGGAACCCCGATTGCAGGAGGACCTCTGGTGCCAGATTCCAGTCTCCTCCGAGAATGGCCTGGTGCCCCGACATCTTCACAGTAGCCCCTGCCGCGCTGAGTATGTCGAGGTTCCTGCTGGACAGACCTCCCCCATCGTGCAAGTAAGCCGATAGGGCCAACATTGGGGCATCTCCAGGAAGGTGAACCAACGCTTTGGTCAGACGGCCAGCCACCAGCGTAGAGCCCCACAGAGGCTCATGCAGCCCCAAGAACTCCCGAGCGAGCATGCCGACTCCCCCAGAGGAGCCGCCCCCCTGTCCAGCGAGAGCAGGCCCAAGTATAGCCTTCCAGCCGTGGCGATTGCACCAAGACGTGGCCTCCCGCAGCGCGGAAACCTGGACAATGTGATGCTCCTGCAGACAGACAATGTGCGCCGTCGCGCGGCTCAGCCACTCCTTGAAGAGTTCCAGCAAGTGGCGTTGCAGCTCTCGACGATGAGACCGAAACCAGCGGGGCAGGGCGGCTCGGGGGGGGCCTGCAGAAAGTCAATGGGCTAGTGGTCCCTATGAGCTGGGGGACCCCTGGGTGACTGATAGCACACGCTGAACTGAGATCGCAAAGCGGCGAAGGGGGGGAGCTGCCCCCAGCGGCCCCCTCAGAAGACGACCCGCTCGAAGTTGTAGCAGGCGTCGCCGCGGCCGCGGGCGACGAACCAGACGAGCTCCTCGTCGTCGCCGCCGAAGCCGAACTCCCTGACCTCACGCTCGACGGAGTAGCTGAACGAGCGCGCTTCACGCCCCTGCGCGAGATGGCCCGATCGTCGGTCGTGAGTCCTGGCACTGACGTCGGCGAGGCCGCCGACCCACTTCCCTCCGCGGGAACGCCCGCGGCGGGGGACCCACCCCTTCCATTATCCCCTTTTTTTTTTTGGGGGGGGGGTCTCTGGCAACAGCGATGGCTGCCAGGGGTGGAAGGGGCAGCTCGCCGAAAGAAGCGAGCGGCACGTAGAGGCCGTCCCAGCACCCGTTGCCGATGCCGACCGCGTCGAAGAATTTCCGCGACTCGGCAGCCTAGACTGGAGCCCAGTCTTCGCCACGTCGCAGTAGTTGAATCGTACGCGGCGCCCCCTGGAAGCTCGCGTCGAACTTCCTCCGCGTCTCAAAATCACCTGCGCCGTGCTACCCCTCAGACTTGGGGCCGTCACCCTTGCCACCGCCCTTTTGCCGCCTCCGCCGCCGCGACGGCGGCGCGGGCCTCGGACTTGAGCCGCTCGCTGGCGTCCAACTCACGACTGCCTCCAGTCGCAGTCGTCGTCCTCGGCGCCTGGGGCTGCGGCTCTGGGACATGGTCGGCCTGGTCACCTGGAGCTAAATCGCCAGCGTCAGCTGCGCCGTCCTCCGCACCAGTACGACGCTCTTCGCCACGAGCCTGTCGCGCATGATCTTGCGCCCCGCCTGCAGAGCCTGCCCTTTCTGGCGGACCGGCCGAAGACGGCGCCAGCCATGTGCTTAAACGACTCGAGCATCTGCTTCTGTCGCTCCTCGGCCTCCTGCAAGGCCTCGGGCCCCAGCTCCTCGCACTCGGCGTAGCCGAAGAGCCCGTCGCCCTCCAGGTCGATGTTGTCCAGCTCGCCGTCCATGAGCTTGGCCAAGGAGAGCTTGAGTGGCTCCACTCGCGCGGGGGGCTGGCCACCGACCCCCGCCGCCACTTCTCCCACTGCTGCTTTGTACTCGCTTTCGGCCGACTCCAGCTCCACCACCAACTCCGAGACGCGAGCCTTCTGGGAGTCCATCTGCTGCACCAAGGAGGATAGCTGATGACTCTCGGTATCCAGCTTGCCCTTTGCCTTTCGAACACGGGCATGAGCCTTGTTGGCTCTGAGCTGAGCAGGCTTCTTGTCGACCTGCCCCTTGTCGGCCTGGTCCAGAAGCTGCTGGTACTTGGCCGCCGTCGCCGTGTCCCCCGTGCGCTCCGCCATGGCGACCATGCTGCGCAGCTCCTCCTTGGACAGGCCCGTGGGGGCCTCAGGCTTGGACTTGATGCGAATGGCCTCGCGGTACGTGTCGGCCATATGCTTGTCACCCTTACTCTCGGCGAACGCCACCAAGGCCTGCATGGCGCCCACTCCGAGATCAGGCACCACAACATCAGCAGCACCAGGCTTTCCAGCGCCGCCCCGACCAGGGTCGCGGTCCCGCGACCACGGCGGCTTGGTCCAGCCACCATTGCGCTCCGTGCCGCAGTGCTTGCCCCAACGCCACTGCGCCAAATTCTTTGCGTATCTGCAGTCGGGTTGCGAGCAGCGCCAGTACTCGCCCCCCTCCGACCTGGGCCTTGACGGGGCGCGGGGCGATGGCCTCGACCGTGGCCTGCCCTTGCCGCCGTCGCTAGTGCCCATGACCACCAGGTGGCCGTCGCCGTGGTGATGCCTCAGGATGCGCCTCACGCGCTCGAGCGCCAGGAGGCTGCGAGCACGGGCTCGCCGCCTCCGCAGCCGCCTGTGCCCGGCGGGCGAGGGCGGCCTATCGCGGCGCCCTCCGCACTCCGTGACGCCCTCCGCCCCTGGGGCAGAGGGCTGGGGGCTCAAACAAACGGGCCCCCTGTGGCCCGCGGGACTGAGCCAAAACCTAGACTGTTACTTCTAGGCCGAATGGTCATCATCCCTAAGCGGCATGCAGAGTGCAGCTCTTGTGATGTGGATGGTTTGACAAAGTTGTCAATGAATGCATGGCAACACGCATGGGCGGCCAGAAAATAGGCTGCATCTCACATACTTTCAACACGGATCAATCATGTCGTCAACGCTTACCCCGACCAACAGAAGTGTATGTCAAAACTGATGCATTTGCGAACGGCCAGCGGTATGCAAGCACCACCTGACACCTGGCCGTGTATGACCGTTTTCCCAGTACTGGGCCCATGCACAAGAGCAAACACCAGGATGACGACCAGATATTGGACGTTGCAATCAAGGAATTTCGGAAGAGCAATGGACTGCCAACAGTAAATTTGACATCTGCGTAACTGACCATCTCCTGGGCCGAACGGCCACCATCCCTCGAGGCACTTGGTTGCAGAGTCAAAGCACATGTGACGTGGGTAATGAGACAAGGATCTCAAGGGCTACATGACAACATGCGTAGTAGGCCACACACTCAATCTCGCATACTGCCAAACAGGACTAACCATGTCATCGATGCTCCACCCGAGTAAAAAAAGGGTAGGCATATACTGGTCCATTCACGAAATCCCCACGATACAGTACGCAAGCGTCAACTGCTCTGGTCGGACCACTTTCCCAGTGCCAGGACCATGCACAGGAGCTGGCACCAGTATGACGCTCACATTTAGATTTTCTTCTCAGGCCGAATGCTCATCATCCCTAAAAGCACTTGCAGAGTGCAGCATTTGTGATGTGGATGGTTGGACAAGATTGTCAATGACTACGTGACAACACGCATGGAAGGCCACATAAGGTTACATCTCGCATACTTTCAGAACGGACCAGCCATGTCGTCAATGCTCAGCCCGACCATAGGGTATGCAGAAAATGATGCATTTGCGAACGCCAGGCTGTATACAATCCCCACCGGGCCCATGCACAGGAGCAAGCACCAGCATGGCGAACAGAATTCGAACGTTGCAGACAAGGAACTTCGGATGAGCAATGGACTGCCAACTGAATATTTGACATCTGCGTGACGTTCCCCGCCACGGCCATGGGACCATATTTGACGCCCACGGGACACGACGCGAGTCTCCAGTTCCCGAAATTCAAGAATATCCTCATCGAGCACGGGAATGCGATCGCCATCCTCCTCCGTCCCTCCTTCCTTTCCTCCCTCATCCTCATCCCTCCTAGTTCCCCCCATCTTGCTCCATCCTCCCCACCTCGATTATCCCTGCCGCAAATTGTCGACAAGCGTCATTCTTCAACAGCCTCGAAACTCGAAGCCCCTGTTCACTGCTACGCCCTCCCATCTCGATCCCTCCTCCCTCCCTTCCTCTCCCACGACGATGGTGACTCTCCTTATCCTTGACCCTCCGTCCCCCTCCCCGCGACGATGGCGACTTTCGCCGACCAAAAACCACGACGACGACGACGACGACGACGACGACGACGGCGACGACGACGACGGACGACGATGACGTTGACGACGACGACGTCGACGACGACGACGACGGACGACGACGACGACGACGACGACGGACGAAGACGACGACGACGGCCGTGGCCTATGGGCCAACACGTCGATCTCCACCTGCCACTGGCCTCGGGCGCGGCCCAAGGGGGGGGCACACTGAGGACGCATTGGCCTGGGTCAGCGGAGGGCGGGGGAGCGGGGCCGGGGGGGGGGGGGGGGCAGAAAGGTCCTCCGACACCGCGAACTCCGCGGACCTCCCCTCGGGAGCGCCCCGGTCAGAATTTCGTGGCGAATCCGGCCGTGGCGACAAAAGCCTCCCACGAGGTCCAGAAAGGCGAACGCGAAATGAGGGTAGCAGACATGTGCTCAGGCTTCCGTTCGAGGCCAGACGACGATGTGTTTTTACATACAGTGGCGCCACCGACCGGAGCGAGCGGGCAGGCAAGCAACGAGTCACAATACCTTCCGCACAAGAGTGTGGCTTCGGCCACACGCACTGCTCAAGGCGAAAAATGGGCGGGCGTGGTGGGCGCCTTGAGCCCAAACGGTTAAGGCGGCCCGACCCACTCATGCTCCGCAAAACGCGTTAGTATAACTGCAATTGCTCAGGCTTCCGTTCGAGGCCAGACGACGATGTGTTTTTACATGCAGTGGCGCCACCGACCGGAGCGAGCGGGCAGGCAAGCAACGAGTCACAATACCTTCCGCACAAGAGTGTGGCTTCGGCCACACGCACTGCCAAGACAGCACCGTCAAGCTAGAAAATGCCATACTTGCACGAGTGCCAACTGGCTCCGCCGGGACTTACGCAACAGACAGGAACCTGTCAAATTTCTGAGCGGTTCGCGCAGCAATTATGTCCCATAACCGTTTGGCGATGAAACTGCAAAGCGGGGCTGGATATGGTTCGGCAACTTTAGTCCAAAACACACCGCCCTGACGCTTGCCGACCAACTGCTGGTGCGGCTCGCCAGTGCGGGCACACATTCTGCGGCTACCGAGGCACCTGCGAGTGGCGAGCCCAGAGAGATCGACGAGGTACGATACAAACGTGGTGGATTTTTTAAAAGGTCCCGCCCACATGCAGAAATCAGTGTACACACTACTGACATTCTTCCGTTTCGTAAGGGCAACGATTGAATTACACCGCCACAGGCGCGAGGTTTGCGGATTCTCCAAAGACCAGGGGGCCCGACGAAGGATGGCCTCACGACACAAGCGGCATGCGAAGCGAGTGAGATTATTGGCAAGCGTCACTTTGTGCTGCAAGGCGGCCGAGAGGTTCGGAATCCCCCACGGCCAGGCGTCACTCCTCAGCGGCGGCGGCCCGCCTCCACGATCGCGAATGCGGGAGTAGGTCTGGCATGGCAGCGCGACGTGAAACCCGATGATGAGGCCTCCAGCGAGCCAGCCCATCAGCAGATTCTGATTCTTGCCAAGCGCCAGGTCATAGGCGTCGCCGAACGAGATGTCCCACCAGAGCACCTGCAGCCCTTCGCCCCAGCCTGCCTGAGCCAGAGAAGATCTCCACGAAGACGGGGGCCCTCAGGGGCTCGCGCAAGGCTGGCGTCGCCCGGCCGCAACGTCGGCGAGCAAGTCGGCGCAGCGCAGCGCGTGGGCACGGAGCGGGGTGGTCAGGCGCTCGAGCACCTCGCCGAGCCTCGCCCCTTTCTCGTAGCGGCGGAGGCTGCTGTGGGCGCGCCAGCGGCCGCGATGGCGGATCTGATCCAGCGTCCTCGCGCCGGTCGCCGCGTCGTGGCTTGCGCCGCCGTGGCGCAGCTGGTAGCGGCAGACCACGCCCACGCGCCGAAGCCCCAGCGCCTGCACCGCCCTGTCGAACGCCTGCCCCGCCTGGGCGCTGCTGATCGTGAACAGGGGCGGGGCGGCAGCAGCCCCCGCGGGCCGCTTCAGCACCGCCTGGCGCCACTGCGGTCCGAACCGCGCCTCCAGCATGGCGCCGAGCGCCGGGCCGAGAGCCGCCTGCCGGTCCAGGTCCAGGAGCAGCGCCTGGTCGAACTCCTGGGTCTTTGACGCCACCCCGTGCTCGCGGGCATGCAGCGTCAGCGACCAGCTGCCGCCGGCCCGCGAGCCCGCCACCGGGGGCGCGAGGTCCCGCGCGCGGAGGGTGAACGGCTCGTTCGGGCGATAGTACATCTCGAACGTCAGCCAGGTCACGAGCCCCTCCTCCCACAGGCCGCGCAGCCACATCCACATCACGATCATGCACATCACCTCGTACGGCACCCCGAGCCTGGAGCCTGCAGGCGCCAGGCGCTGCCAGCCCTTGAGCGCGCGGCGGCTGCGCGCCATCCGCGCGCCGCCCGCCTTGCTCAGGGCCGACTGGTGGAACAGCACAGCGGCGAGCATCCGCTGCCCCAAGCTGACGTGCGCGCCGTCGAGGTACATCTCGTCCAGGTACTGGGAGAGGGTCTGGTCGGCGTCCAGCTCGCCCTCGGGCATCGGGCGGCCCTGGCGACTCAGCCAGCGCTTGAACGAGGCAAAGTCGTCTTGGTACAGCCGCAACGTAGCGGGGCGAACCGAGTGAGTCTGGCAGACGGTCAGCCCCTCGGCCGCGGTCGCGGCCGCCCGCCGCCTCGCCGCCTCCTTCACGCGGGCCTGCCCGGCGCGCCGCGCTGGTGCTCGTGCCGGCGCCCGCGGCGCCCGGCGGGGCACAGCCGCTGGCGCGCTGCTGGGAGCGGCCCGCGAAGGAAACGCCGCCGATGAAGACGGGCTCGAAGCGGCTGGCGCCCGCGTCAGACTGCTCCTCCCCGAGGGCCGCGAAGCCGACCCAGTTGGCTGAGAGCCGGTCGACGGCGACGCTCGTAGCAGCATCGCCTCCTGCCGCGGGGCGGGGCCGCGGGGCGGGCGCAGGCTGCCCAGCCGAGCGAAGCCACTCCAGCTCGTGAGGCTTCGAGAGGGGCAGCGGCTGCGGCACTGACGGAACTGCAAGCCCTCTCGAGGGCCCGTCAGCCACATTCCACTCTGAGGGGAGCCACCGGCAGTGCAACGCGCACCCAGTGGCCAGACAGAGAGCAGCCACGGACTGGGTGACCTTGAGCATCGCCCTGGAATCAGACCGCCCCTTCGAGACTGCGCAGGCAGCGACGAGGGCGCCCCCCAGGACCGCGATCCGCCGCCCGAAATTCTGAACATTCCTCAGGGCGTGTCGGAGTGCATACAAGATAGCCCGGCCCTCAAGGATAGGCATCGGCTCCTCAACGTTCCACTTGTACCTCCCGACAATCTTCCAGTCACGTCGTAAGAGCTTCAGGGGCACCTCACGAAACACGGTGTCACGAGAATCGCCGAGCCCGGAACCCAGAACGGCGGCGGCACTGCCAGCAGGCGGCGGCCCCCCATCAACATCCCAGAGACCTCCGGACCCGTTGTCGTGCACTCCGGACAGCCACTGCACCTCGGGGTCGTCGGACACGGCGGCAGCGGCGGCAGCCTGAAGACGCGGGGGAAGACGCGCACCCCGAGAGAAACGCCACCGCTCGTAATGTCTCCCAAGCCCCCGGGCCTCCTCGACTGAGATCGGCGACGAGCAGACTCCCAGACCGGTCGGGGACGCGTCGACGGCGCACAGCGACGGCCCCCACGAGGCCTTCAGGTTGCGCCACAGCAGCGGCGCGATCCCCTCCCAGATCGTGAGCTCGTTGATGACACTGGGCCACAGCGGGGCCTCCTCGTAGTAGAAGCGGCGGATGAACGCGAACAGCGTGTCGAAGACCGAGAGGCTTTCCCGTCGGACCAGGCTGATGAACCCCATGTGCCCCGCAAGCCTCTCGAGGACCTTCCCAGAGACGCGGCCACGACGAAGCAAGGCACGGACGCACAAGCGGGCCCTCCAGACACGGGCCCGGGTAGGCCTCAGGACAGCGGCACGACAACTGATATCCCATCCCAAGACGGTGCGGTCCCGAGCGAGATCCTCTCCGGGCGAGTCGACATCGGCGGTCACGGCCAACCCCGCCTCCCTGAACCCCTCCACCACGGCGGACGCGAGGCGATGCACCTTGGAGGCGACAATCGAAATGGCCACGAAGTTGCCGACATACTCGAGATGGCAGGCCCCCGCAAGAGAGGGAATGGCACGACAATCCTGCAACCTCTCTTCGGGTTGTCCTCCACACCGCTCGACCAATCTCTCATGCGCACGTTGACACCACCACAATGCCCAAGTCCACCCCATGGGCCCACGCGCAGTCTTGGGTATACCCAAGCCCCGTCGCGCACTGGTTTCCCGCCAATCTCAGTCAAGCCGATATCACGAGCACGGACGCGCCTAAGGGTGAACAGATCCCGCAACTCGACAGGCAGCTGCAAATGGTAGAATGCATTGGACAGGTCAGCTTCCGAAATATAGAGCGTCTCGCCTCCACCGACTTCGAGGTTCCCAAGAGTCTCACCAGTGCAAAGAGTGACATTATCAGGCTCGCGAAACCAGACGTTGCTGCGACGGCAATCGCAAACGAGTCTCAATCGCTGATCCTCTTTCGGAACGCAGAAGAACTCCACGGACTCCCTGCCGCGGTCGTAGGCAAAATCTAGCAGGCCGCTGCGATGAAGCCGCGAGACAAAGTCGCTCCACACACGCGGTTGGCGAAGAGCTGGGTCGGAATAGGGCGCCCTCACGCCGCGCATCTTCCTCCTCTCCAGCGCCGGCCCCGCAGGTAGCACACTATCGCGGACGAACTCCGCGACGCGCCTGCGCCCGCCTGCGCCCCGCAAGTCCGCGAGCGAAACCGCATGGCTCCCCACGGACGGCAGCGAGAGCAGATCGGGATTGTAGTTCCCCAGCTTCACGTCCTCGTCGGAGCCGTAGAAGCCATGCGCTCGAAGCCTCCGCAGAGCTTCCGAGGTGTCGACGCCTGCCGGTGGAGCCCCCAGCGCTCCAACTGAGTCGCGCACGTGCTCCATCATGCGTTGCTGCATCAGCGACAGAGGACCACCACTGAGTTGACCCTCTCCGCCCGGCACAACGTCAGGAGAGTGATGCAGTGAATTCAGGGCGACAACCGCCCTCCGAACGTCGAGATCACGAGCGTGGCGCTGCTGAACCCGCTGACGGCAACCTCGCGACAAAAATCCACCACTGTCAGCACATGCAGATGAGACTGGCGGCACTGGCAGAGGAAGAGGATTGCGAGCAACCAGACGCGCGGGCTCATCACGACCAAGGGAAGGGCGCTCGAATTGACCATGCGAAGGCGCCCCCCGGTCGCCCCCCGGTCGCCTGGCAACCGGGGGCCACGAAGGGTGCGCTCCATGCCCCCTCAACCTTGTCCGTCCTTCTTGCCCTTCTTGAGGGCCTCCTTCTCTTCACGAGCCTTGCGGAGGTTCTTTGCCAGGGCAGCTTCACGCTCTACTTCTTTGCGTACAAACTCCAACAAGTCGGGGCACACCATCAAGCTAACAGAGATCCGAGTCGAGCCCGCGAAGTGCGTCTGCTCCTCGATCGACAACTTCCCGCTCTGATTGGCCCCTTCACGCTCCCTCACCTTCTCCAGGTACGAATACTCGATAGTCTGCATGCGGCGGAAGATGGCCTCGCAAGCCTGCAAGTTCGTGCCGTCGCACTGGTCTGAGAGCAACAGCAGGCGGATGTACTGCGTGCACTGGAAGTGCTCCTGCACGCCCCACTGCGTCGGCTCGAGCTTCGCCACTGCCCGAAACCTATCGTGATGGCCGTCGATGCCCATCCCCTCATTGTTGATGAACTCGATGCACCAGAACGTCGTCCGCGGGCCCGTCACCAGCCAGTCGCGCCCGAAGTCCTCCTCACGAACGCGCGCAGCCATGACCGCCCACGTCACCTCGCGGCGGGCTCCCGTACGCATCACGGGCATCACGCGAGCGTCTGCTGCCACAGCGCGCCCCATGAAGACCTCCAACTCCGCCGCCGGCACCTCCTCGACGAACGGGGCGGTCCCGTCGGCGAGGATGTGGAGGTCGCGCCCGCGCACCGCAGCTGCCGTCGCCACGTGCCCTGGCACCTCGTCCCCGTACCGCACGTCCCCGAGAGACTGAGCCGCCCGCCAGCGCGTGCCAGCGTCCGCCGCAGCCGCCTGAGGCGCCACGCCCTGCAGCACCCCCGGGCGAGGCCCAGCAGCCGCCGCAGGCCCAGCCGCCGCGCCTCCCGCAGCGGCGGGCGCGCCGCCTGGCCCGCCTGGCACCAGCGCGCGGAAGCCTGGCGCCGTGAGCAGGTCGGGGCGACCAATCGTGGCGGCCACGATGCGGCAGCGATGATCGGCCAGTAGCTCAGCATCACGAAGGAAGACGTGCTTCTCGGCCGCTGTCGGCTCCTGCCGAAAGCGGTACACCCGCGCAGGATTCACGCCGTTGGGGACGTCGTTCCAACCTGCGCTCCACCGAACCCGATCCACATCTTCATTATCATTAACGTCATACTTCTCAATGTACGTGTCGCCGTCAGGCGTGGTACCGACATACTCAGAAGCCGATAGCGCCACGCGGCCGGAAACCCACCTTTGGTGAACCAGGTCGTCCCCGACGTACCTCAGCCACCCCCACTCCATGGCCCACGACCTTCACGAACAGCAGCGTCAGCAGCACGCCGCCGACGGCGCCGCCCAGCAGCCCTCGCAAGAAGGCCCGCCAGGCGTCGCACGGCTCAGGCTCCGCCGGCTGCTCGCAAGCAGCGCAGGCAGGGCAGGAGCGCGGCGCCTCCGCGCGCCCCTCACGAGCGGCGCGCGGCGCCTCGGCCGCCACCGCGGGGCAGACCAGCGCGGGGCACGCTGGGCAGCTGACTGTGGCCGGCGGAGGGCACGTGAAAGAAGGACAGGCAGGACAGGTCAAGGAGCAGCTGGGGCACTCCGGCGCAGCGGGGCACCGGTGGAGGTACGCGATGGTCGCGTCGACCGCCCCTCCCAGCACCAGCGGCAACATCCACGTCGCGCGCGGACCGCTCCCTCCGTTACGCCTTGAGCCCAAACGGTTAAGGCGGCCCGACCCACTCATGCTCCGCAAAACGCGTTAGTATAACTGCAATTGAGCAGGGACCGACCGTCCTGGCATTCTGATAGGCCTACCACGAGATTTTCCTGGAACCCAAAAACGTTCTCAGAACAAGAGCAGTGTTCTTAGAACATCAACCCGATGTGCTAAAAACAAGACAGTCCCAGCCAGAAGCGTTCGAAACCACAACCGGTTCCTAGAACATTCTTCGGCCGGCCCCCGTCAGCGCTGGCCCCCGCGCGGCTGCACGCCGCCGGTGCTCGGCCCCGGGCGCCCCGGGGCAAACGGCTGCGCGAAGGCCGACACGACGACGAGCCCCCCGGCCGGCCCGAGCATCGACGGCGAGCCCCCAGGGGAGAAGCTAGACCGGGTGTTGCTGGTATTGCCCCCTCCTCCCCCTCCTCCTGAGCTGAACTGAAAACTACCACAGGACGCGCGAAGCGTGCAGGGAGTACATGCGCCGAGTGAAAATAGAGAACACTGAGCGAGTCAACAGAAGATGAACGGCGAAAGTCGGAGCCAAACGCTCCCCACGTGTGTCCATCAAAAGACGGGTCACGAGGACAATGAAACTGGGAAGCCCCTCCTCCTCCTCCTCCTCCTCCTCCTCCTCCTCCTCCTCCTCCTGCTCCTCCTCCTCCTGCGATGCGTGCAGTCGGCGACGGGGAGACGCCCGCCGGCGGCGCGGGGGGCCTGCCGCGGCAGAGCCGCCAGGTGCGCGGGCGGCGCCGCGCCTCGCCGGCGCTGGCGGGCCGCGCCGGGGGGGGGCTTCCTCCTCTTCCTCTTCCTCTTCGTCTTCCTCTTCGTCTTCTTCCTCCTCCTCCTCCTCCTCCTCCTCCTCCTCCTCCTCCCCTTCCTCTTCCGCTTCGTCGTCCTCTTCCTCTTCCTCCTGTAGCACTGCTGAGCCTGCAGCGTGCGCCCTTCCGCCCAAGCCGGCGAGGGAATCTGTGGGGAACCTTCTCTACCTGGCGGTGGCGGAGGTGGTTGCGCTGCGCCGCCCGCCACGAGAGGGGCAGAGGAGCCGACATGCTCGCTAAGACAAAGCCAAGGCAAAGACAAAAAAATCCTCCTCCTCCTCCTATTCCTCCTCCTTCTTCTCCTCCTCCTCCTCCTCCTCCTCCTCCTCCTCCTCCTCCTCCTCCGGCGCCGCGGCCTTCTCCGAGCGTCCGAGGACACTCGGAGGGCGTTCCAGACGCTCTGGAATGGATGTATCCTCGTCTATAGCCCCGTCCGGCGCTCGCGTGGTAACAAAAGTCAGGACGGCAGTCTTTTGGCAATTTTCGGCCCCTGGGGCCCTCACGGGGCCCCGGACCGCCAAAAAACGGCTCGGGATGCAAAACCAGGACCTCGCATGCCTGCGAAGGGGGGGCCACGTAGGAATAGGGTGGCGAGGCCTCTACACATCCACTACCCCAGGCCTGACCCATCCTGGGCCCAGGAGCGGTGCTTTTGCCTCCCAGGCCGAGCCAGGAGGGTGCACGCATCGCTCCTGGGCCCAGGATGGGCCAGGCATGGGGCAGTGAATATGTACAGATCCCGCCGCCCTAAGGAAATGGGGAGCTGTGGGGCCTGCCCTTCCTGGGTCGGACGAAAATTTCTGATGCGGCACCTCAGGGGAGCCTCCCAAGCAATTTGGTTGGCTCTTGCGAATCGGCGCTCATCGAGGCTGCTCGACGCAAAGTCGGAGCTAATCGACGCCAATCGACGCTAAATCGGCGCTATCTCACCGATTGCCATACGCCAGCCGACGCTAATGCATTCTAAAAGCGGCATTGCGAATGCACGCGAATCCTCCGTGATTTTCCGCCAATGAAAAGGCGGGTACTTCAGAACTGGGGAGGCTGGCGAATCAGCGCAGAGGGCATGAGGGACGCGGGAAGTGACCTAACCAGCCCCGAACCTACCCTATCCCCATAATGGGCGAGCAGAGAACGAGGGACGTGCCCTCAGCAACTGAGGGGATCCTTCAGATCGGCATCGGGGTGGGGTGATGCCGAAGACAGGGATGGGGAGATGTTTCCATAGACGAGCGCGTTCCACTACTCGCAGAGTAACTACTCTCAAATGGCCCAGATCCCCCGCAGAGGATACACGATGAATTGAATCAAAGCGGACATGTGTTTTCCAGACGTTTGCGAGTAGGCACACTGCGAGCAGGGGAGCGCGCGCGGTGACCCCCATCGGGACTGACCCTAAAGGGGGCCTCGCCGGGGGCCGCCCGCTCCTCCCGCGCCGCATCCCCCCGGCCCCCCGATGGGGCCTCGCCGAGGAGGGGCCCCATGGGAGGCCGCAGACGGCGGAGGCCCTCGGCCGCGCACGCGCGCGCGCCCGAGGCGAGGGCGCGCCCCCCCGACCCAGCACTGCCAGCAGGGACCGGCCGCCCCGGCATGCCCACACGGCCTGCCACGGCACAGGCTCTCGCGGGACCCAAAAGAATGCTCCAGGAGCAAGGCACAGCTGTTCGCAGAACAGGAGCCCGATGTGCGAAAACAAGGCGGGCCCAGCCAGGCATGCTCTGAGAGCATGTCGTGCAGACCACAGGAGGTCCTCAGACCACAGGAGGTCCTCAGAACATTCCTCAGACCACAGGGGCCTTCCCCCAGAGCGCGCTTGTCACTCCGAGCCCGGGGAGGGCCCACGGGAACCGTAAGAGCACCGACGACATGCCTGGACGACCCCTCTCCATCACGGTGAGAATGGTGCACCTAAGACCGTCCACGGGAAAAGACGGCGTAAACCAAACCGACAGATCGCGAGCAGTCTTGAAGGGCGCAGTGACTCACGCGGCAACGACGCGACAGCCGACCGAGCCGAACCGACAGAACGTGGCCGACTGCGTCTCGGCCGAACAGAACGCACCGCGGACAGCCTTGGTACCTGTCTCGGTGGTGCCAGGACATTGTCACGAACGAAACGGGTCCCAGAGGCCTCCCAGGTGGGGTCCGAGTAGATAGGTC